GGTGTGTTTTCCTAAGTGGACTTATTATCATATATAATTATATATGCTACTCATATAAAATTATACGATAAGCTGAATTATACAAGCATTTTATTGGTACTACTTATGTTCTGTTGGAAGACAAACGCGTAGATGGCGTCATTATTAACAACCTTTCGTCATCTCTACAATTAGAAAATCGATTCTACGTTGCTGTGGGTCTGTACAATAATAGATCACAGAAGACATCAAAATGTGGTAAAAACATCAGTGACACAACCGGCTGCGCTTCATGTGCTCTTTTGTTTTTTCTTACCACGTTTTGACTGCATCTGTGATCCATTTCTGAACAGAGGCTGCCAATGGTCTCGGTGTGGCCAAATCGACTTACAAGATTATCCAGTGTAATAAAAAAATGACATGACTTTTTTACTAGAATGTGCCGCGAAATGTTAACATTTTAATCGTCAGTAAGAGCTATCCACTGCGTGGCTAAAATTTCGCAGGAAAAATGAGGATGGTAGGTTTTATCTAAAGTGAACCTTATATTCATTCCTCAATGCTGCTGAGTTCTTCTAATTTCTCCTTTTCTTTTAGCTTTCGGAACTATATTATTTTCATTTGGTGGCGCTTCAACCTTTCCAACGATTCAGACAGACATGAAAAAATGCTCCAAGTTTCCAATTTCTGTGTTCTGGGCGTAGGTTGGTGTCGTAAGCATGTATCTGCCTGTGTCAATCCTCGGTTTGTGGCTTACGGCAAGAACATCACATCGAACATTCTCGAGAGCGTGAAATACGAAGGACATGACGCGGCTGCTGTTATGTTAGACATAGTGCTTGTACTGATCACACTTCACCTGCTGTTAAGCTTTGTTATTGTGATAAACCCAGTATCGCAGTCTTTTGAGGAGTTTTTGAGCATACCTCAAGGTTGGTTTAAATACACCCAGGGTTAATCTCATTAATTCAGCGGGAAGCAAGGGTTGCGATGGACGTCTACCTATTCCGTAAAAAAAACATAGAATCTAATATTTTACAGGGAATGTGATCAAGATAGCTCTAGGGTCCACAGCTACGCTTATATATCTAGGGGCGAAATACGAGCGCTTTTTTTTTCTTGCTTCTTTCGTGTAAAACTGTTTTCCTTATCGGCGTCTTGCTTTCATAAAACCCCCATCCACACAGCGTTTTAATGTTAGACACTTACGCTACCTTAAGTCATTTTTCGGTCTTCTTTTCCAACAGGATTTGGTGTCAAACGGTGCCTCCTTCGCACCGCCATCATGTGTTTTATTCTTGGCATTGGCGAACTCATCCCAAAGTTTGGTCCCATTCTGTCTCTTATTGGAGGATCCACAATAACTGCATTGACCTTTGTATTTCCCTGTTTGTTTTATTTGAGAATTGAACGTAATATTCCTCTTCATATCAAGGTTTTCTTGTATGAACTCATAGCTGTTGGAATTTTTGGTGGTGTGGCGTCCACCTACTCCGCAATAAATGACATTCGAAAAGTATTCAGTTAAACCTTCAAAATAATAAAAATATCGGACTTATTCAATGGCTAAGGTGGGGGAGGGGGTGGAGGCGAGGGCAGAATTAGTCTCGTACACAGACCTCCCACGGCCAAGCGACAGAAATTGATCCTTCATTTTGATCAAACTAGTAGAATCAGGGTACGAATTGTTTGATCCAGTGATAGTTCGTATTATTACTTAATGCATGAAATATGTTTGTGCTAGTTTATTATAAAGAGCTGTAATCTGGCCCTCGTGTATGATTCACCGAGTGCCTAAGGAAAACGGTTATAAACAGCTCCCTGTCCATGAATAAAAGTACATGAATCGTAACATGCAGGGCTGATGGTTGTCTTATTCTTCTAAAAAGATCTGAACATGTTGACATATTTGGTAAGTTCGACACAACAAGCAGCCCAGGCTCAATCTGAGAAGTTTGAAAAATTTAGATATTACATGATATGACCAAACTGTTACACGGAACATGAAAAGAAACATGAACTGTATGTGAAATTCACCTTTTAGCCTAAATAATTTAAAAAGAGCTAGATTTGCAATGGAAAGTTCACCTACGGCAAAGCATCAGGACATAAATATGTATTTAAAAAAAAAACTCCCCACATTAGTTTTGGGCGGTCTGTGAGATCTGGTTTGTTAAATGCGGCAACATAGAAAAATCTGTGTTGGTGAGAAATTTATGTATTGAAACGCAACGTACCAAGCTTTAGCTTCTTGTGGGCATGCGCACTCTTTTCACTTCCTCGGAAATGCACCTTTTACTAATATCTATTTCTGAATGAATGGTATTCCTCAGCTTCAGTCGTATTACCATTCACAATTTCTTTGTGAATTAAAAATATTTCATCCTACGTGTTTCATTTGAATTTTCATGATAAAGATCGCTAGTTTTCAAATAACAACAATGACAATAACGTCATTTTAGACAGGCATTGAACATATTGTACGAAAAAGAGATGAAAAAGCACTATAAGTAGAGACAAGAAGTCGAATGAACAGTTCAGTTTTTTAAAGAAAGATGAATTCCTGAAAAGTTTGGAAGTTTCAAAACAATTTCAGTTCCCCGGGATATTAATTATGTATCGTCCACCACATAATTATCGGTAATTATGCATGCAAATCCACGTTTTCATGCAGTTTATTGCAAACGTATTCAAATAACGTTATTTTAGCAATTCTGTCTTTAACGGTGCAATATTGTGGCTTACAAGAAACCAGAGACTCCTCGATGGGGTAGTTCAGGTAAATAATTGAATCCATCCATTTGTGTACTGCAACTAGAACATTTAATAGTTCAGAACAATTGGTAAAAAATATATAGTTACAGCCAGTTATAGTTTTTTCAGTGATCAAGTCATAGTAACTGTTACCGCACCATATGCTTTTGACTTTATGTTGTTGTTAGGCTGAAAAAATCAATATGCTCCGTAATACTTACTGTTTTTTTGTTTTGAAAATTACACATAAATAACGATTTTTAACAGAAATTGAAGAAGCAATGGTTGTTTGTGCGATTAGCTTTTAACATGTCCAACAGAAACTAATGTAATCATTATGGCATCGTGCTACAGTTTACTTCATCCTTTAACATTCGGCCGGTTGTCAAAAGACGGATGTTTAGCAACCTCTCTCTCTTGGTAAAATAATTCACCGTAAATGTTATGACAAAACGACAATTAATTTGAGATTGCAATAAGAAAGTTATTTTCGTTATCTCTGTGACTAAAGGAATAATCACTGAAATTGTTTGTGAGGCTTTTTAAAACTGAGCAGCAATTTTTTCTCGTTTTGTGAGCGGGTAATTGTTTTTCACCATCTGCTTAAAACTTAAAATTAATGACAAAAACGACAATTATCTGACGGTTTTTTGTTGTTCACAAGTACTTTTATAGTGCGTTTGAATCGCAGGTCTTAGTGTAACGTCAACACAGACTGCTTCAAAAGGCTTCAAATGCTTTTCTTTGAGCTTGTTTCAGACCAGGCACGACTGATGACGGACTTCAGCAATAAAGCTCATTGTCATTGTCATATTCTTATGATCCCCATTCATTCGCACTTAATCGGCTGTCAATTTTCTTCAGTTCTATCTTTATACTCTGTTGGCGATACTTACCCCCCCCCTCCGCTTCTGCTGAACACCACGTGATTTCCTCAGATAATCGCCCCCCCCCCCCCTGCCCCCCCACCCTCTCGGCGATAAGTAGTCATTTTCATATTTGCATGAGTGCCCCTCATTAAAAATTAATCGTCTGTCAATTTTCTACAGTTCTATTTTTAATCTCTGTTAGCGACGATTGATCCCCCTCCGTTTCTGTTGACCCCTACGTGGTCCACCAAATCCTCTGCCTCCCCCCTCCCCCGGCCCCCCTCGGCGATAAATAGTCATTTTCATATTTGCATGAGTCCCCCTCATTAAAAGTCAATCGGCTGTCAATTTTCTACAGTTCTATTTTTATACTCTGTTGGCGACGACTGAGTCCCCCTTCATTTCCCCTACCGTTGATAAATAAAGACTGGTCCCTTAGTGTACGCCTATAGTTGCTTTTTCAAGATTTCGTTATATTCAGCTCTTCAAATTTTTCCAAGCCCACCTTAGTTTATTTCCCCTTTGACAACAAGACTGAAAATGCGTTCCACATAGATTTCTTTGCCATGCCTGCTTGCCTCGATCTTAAGCGCTGATCTTGTCTATTGTGCTTTCAGGTGATTCTCGCGTCATGTCTGTCACAAAGAAAACCATGTTCGTGTTTATTTTTTTATTGGGTAAGCAATGACATTTCACTTCTCGTAAATACTATTGGCGAATAATTTAGCCCTCTCTACCAAATATATTTAGTAATCATCAGTCATCAGTACGTAGTTTTGTTTCTTATTTTGGAAATACTTATCACGTATGTAAATTTAACTGAACAGCTGTTGAAACCGTAAGAAGCAATCATTTGGCATCAAATACCACAATTGATTGTCCAGAACCCTGTGAATGCAAGTCAGTGGAAGTTAACTGCAGGGGAAAAGAACTTAAATCATTTCCACGGAAACTGCCAGCTACAACGACAATCTTGTGCGTATATTACATGTAATCATTCAAGTCAAATAAATTCAAATAATAGACAAAAAAAAGAAAAAATAAAAGCATTAAGAGGCGACCTCTGTAAAAGCGGTCCAGGGCATTTCGCATCGGAATAAAGTTTTCCCTCAAACTTTGCCCAATAATCTACCTTTGGTAGCGAGTAAATAAAACCACATTAGTTTCTGGAAATACGTTAAAATAAAATTTTTAGAGCTCTCAATAGTCAAAGCTGCAAAAGGCCCTTTTTTGACCGCTTGCGACATCGAAAATTTCAAAAGTTAAAAAGCCCGGTCCTCGTATCACACCGCATGCAGCAAAAGATCTTTTGTATTCTTAGACTGAGTAATATGTAAGTTGTATAAAAAGCATTTCAATTTTTATATTCGTTGATTCAGAGGTTCGTCATGATTTATTTAATAACACACGTTAGACAGCTTTCTGAAATTGGTCAAAAGTACTCTTTCTTTCTTGGTTGATATTGCTCAAGTCCAGACCAGACCATTGAAAACTCCGCTTGATTTCTTCTAATAAGATGTTTGGCATAAGAAAAATATAAAAACATCTTGCACTTATTAGTTTTCTTCGCCGTGGTGACTTCAAACTTTTAGCGATTTTGCTAGCGTGACAGCCGATTATGCAAATTAGTTCATTGAGCAAACTCCGACCGTTTTATATAAGTAGCTCAATAAATCTTAGATTTTGGCCATTTTAAGTTGAAAATATAGTAGGACAGAGCTTTTAGACCACACTGATTGATACTCTAAACATTTTAAAAGGCCAAAATTTGACGAATGTTTCTATCTCGTGACGAAAGACGTCAACAACAACGTATCGAATATCATAATTTGATTAGCGCTCAGTCAACCTTTTAATGGCAATTTGTTATTTCATATTTGAGTTCTGACAGCTTACGCTATTCAAACCTGTGTGAACATTTCGGAACCAAACTACAGGATTTTATTTAGTGCAACTGGCGATAACAGCGCACACTAAAATATACCGTGACCAGTGACTCTGTCACGTAATTCAATTGTGTAATTATCCTGAATTACTTCTCCCATCTAGATAAAGCAGCGATAACATCGTCTTTTGGCTCAGAATTCTAGTCGGCAGGAATAAGAGAAAATTTTGTCTGCACACCTGACTTTATGAGAGTTTCTATTCACAACTTTAGAACTTTCTTGTAGAAAAGGACTCCGCGTTTTTAAAGGAAATAAATTATTTCGTTACGTGTCACCTAATTTTTCCAACAATTAGCCATATCTATGTTGTAAAGTGCGTAATCCTATTAGCTGTAATTCAATTGCTTCTTTCGGTACTGATTTGCTTTTGATTAATAACACTAAATTCTTGAAGCAGCATTCGCAGTAAGATGTCTTGCTTTCTTTCGCATTCCTTAGAAACTTCGTGCGGAGACTCACGAGGAGTTTCCGGGTTGTTTAATTTACTTCAGTGTACTGACTCAGTAGAGAGTCATCTCTCATTAATCCATTTGTCAAAAGAGAGTGTCACGGAAGGAGAGCTTATCCTAGCAAGGGCTGGCCTGTTCGATATAGATGACTCAGTTATGGCAAAAATGTTGGTCTGTTCAAAGCATAGGCACACCTATGGGAAGTTCTGGCGCCAAAGATCAGCGTGCCAGTATCCGACGCACCCTGGTAGCGATTCCAAGGGGGCAAAGAGCCGGTATTCTGTCAATTTGGAAATGTCAAAGGCCATTTCTAAGATGTATGGCGTTCTCGTTCAAGTAGGTTCAGGTAGGAACAAGTGATTTAAGATACTGAAGTGGCTGATTTCAACCAATCTCTCCCGTTTTCTCCCCAATCGCTCGTTCGTATATTAATCCACTTTTTCCTACGTCCAGTTATTTGTATTAACTGCTGCAACAAGCACAATGCTTCTGTGAAGGAAATGCCATGGGTCTCTTTGGAACCCACAGAGAAAGAAGACAGTGATTCCTGCGCTTATGTGAGGTAAAAGAGTTTGTGCGAATAAAAAGCGTTTGATATTGATGCATGCAGTTGTGTACATAAGCTGAGATACATAACCCTTTTCCAATAAGAAAATGCTCTACGGGCGGTAATTGTTAACAAATAACTTTAGTAATTAATCATAGCTTACTGGAGTTTTGCCTGTATCAGGGATCTCGAGGTAATTGCCTTTTGGTAAGACACACCGAAAGGTACATCTGTTTGTATCGATTCAGTTTTTGTAGATATTTTGTAAACTACAAAAGAGATGTGCTTAGTGCTAAAGCAGTTAGCCTGCGTACAAGGCTCTCGGCGAAAAGCCTGTAGTAAGCATCTGAGAGAACAGACGCCATGTCTTTCTCTCGCGTAACTTCTCGCTTGCGCTTGCTAGGTTTAATCACTCGCGCCCAGTTGACTTTGAAAGCATGTTACCTAGTTTATGTGTACAAATTCATCTGAAACTTGATATCTTTAATCGAAGGCCAAGCAAAGATGCCGCTCTAGAGAAGTTCAAACTAGCCATGAGCTCACCTATTACACCAAGTTCTTCCAGGCTATCCCACAGCACCAATGACGAAATGTGGACTCCTTCAGCCGTGTTGGCGCTTGACGAAAGCATAGAAATACAGGATTTCAGACCAACGAGAGGAAATGTCCAAGATCCAATTCAAGTTTTCAATGCATGCATTGATAGCCTCGCCGATGCTGTACAAAAAGCCAGGATTACACATTTGGAATCACAAGTAGATTGTTGGGAAAAATGCTCCTTTACTGAAAAATCTGAATTTGTGCAAAAAGCCGGGGAAGCGTGCCAGCTGGTGTGCGACGTCATAGCTCCAAGAGATGGTAAAGCGTTATTCCAAGCAGTCGTAGACCATGAACAGAAGTGCAAGACAGCTATTGATGTTGGCCTTCAAACCCTTATGGTCGCCTATCAGAATGCTCCCACAAAATCACTTAAGACTCAAATACTGAGAATTTATGCTGATAGATTCTCAGCCAATGAGCTTAAACGCGTACATCAACCATTTGAAAACCTCTCCGATAGACAAATAAAGAAGGCAAGAGCACAGGCGAAGAGTGAGGGGCCTGGAGTGCCCATTGAAAAAATCCCGCGTCATAGAATCCGTATACAACAGCGTCAGCTAGACCACTTCTTAGAGTTCACTATGAGGCCATATTACTATCAAGACGTAGCCTACGGTACTCGCACCATAAAACTTGAGAACGGTGAAGAGTTTGTCATACCTAACGTGGTGCGCACAGTGGCCAAGTGCACCATCATTAATCAATACATGGACCATTGCAAACAAACTGGATTTCAACCGATAAGTAAATCCACGATGTGGAGAGTACTAGAAGTTCAAGGGGCCACACAGAGGAAATCATTGCGGGGTCTAGACAATACTGCAGCTGAGGGAGCGGATGGTTTTAAAGATTTTCTCCAAATTATAGACGAACTGGAACGCGTGGGAGCGGAAAAGGATTGGTGTAAAGAAGTTCGGAAGAGGCTTCAGGAGAGCAAGTTGTATTTGAAGACTACATACCGTAATCACTGCAAAGAAGACAATAGCAAATGTGCCGATCACTGTAGGGTCTTTGCACTGAGCGATGCTGGTGACACTGACTTTCAGAAAGTATGCAGTCATAGCCACAACGTGAATTGTGAGGATTGTGAGAAGCTGAAAAGTGTTCTTGAAGAAGTAAGTGGTGTTATTTCTGAGTACACAATGCAATTGGGTAAGGTTCAAGCGGAAGACCATCTTTATGAAGCAAAAAATGCTGCCGCTAAGATCTTTGGATGGAAAGGGCATATCCTGAGAGAAGAGAATCAGAATCAGTGCAAGCGTCAAATTCTTGACTCTTTGAAGGGAGATGAAGCATTTATAGTAGTTGACTGGGCAATGAAGTTCACAGCAATGAAGTTCCGGGAAAAGCAAGCAGAATGGTTTGCTAAGAGGGGAATCAATTGGCATGTGAGTAGCGTTGTTGTAAGACAGGAGGAAAGCCTAGAAGTAACTTGCTACGTACACCTTTTTAACAGCTGTAAACAAGACTGGTTTTCAGTGCTGTCAGTCCTTGAAAATCTCTTTGTCACCATAAAGTTACAAAATCCAGGAATAAAAAAGGCCTTTCTAAGATCAGATGAAGCAGGTTGCTATCACAACAGTAAGCTGGTATCATCCCTACGAGAGCTCGGACATCACCAGGGAATCGAACTCGTGAGGTACGATCATTCTGAACCGCAGGCTGGAAAAGATATGTGTGACAGGATTTTGTGTCCGTTAAAAGCGTCAATCAGGAGATACTGCAACGAAGGCCATGATGTTGTTTCTGCCAAAGACATGTATAACGCACTGAAAGAGAGACCGGTCAAGGGAACGACGGCGTCAGTGTGCATAGTCCAGGAACAGAACTCAACCCTAGAAATTAACAAGATTGCCAATTTCAACAGCTTACACAACTTTGAGTTTACACATGAGGGCCTGCGCGTTTGGAGAGCGTTTAATGTTGGGCCTGGAAAGTTTATTCCATGGAATAAAATTGTAATTTGTCCACAGAGAAAGACGGATCTCGTGGAGGAGATTCCATTCTTCCCCACTGCTGCTCGACGAATTGCATCAGCAGGAGAAAGTAATGATGGCAACGACGGTAGTACCTATCAATGCCCTGAGCCTGGTTGCGATGAAGATTTTAAGACCCAGGCCGACCTTGACCTTCATATGAACTTGCTAGTTCATCATGTGAGTCCTGTGCCTGCGAGCATGACTGAAAGTCTTTATGACAAAGTGAAGAGGGAGTGGGTTCATCACTTTCAGTCATTGTCATTAGGGAATGAAATTTCGACTGAACTGGTGGCAATGGCCACAGAACCCTTGACAAATGCTTCACAGCTTCCCATGGGATGGGCTCTTCATAAGAGAAGTGCAAGTGTACGGTTTTCGCAAAATGTCAGGCAGTACTTGACACAGAAATTTAATATTGGACGAGACACTGG